AAACCATCTCCCCCGGGAGCAAAGGGACTGGTGATGGGATGGTGTTTGTGTTCGCTGCCTCAGAAACACAAATGTCGTGGCTGGAGCCTGATGGCATATCCCCAGGTGTCCCCGATTTTGGGGACAGCCCGTTTGGGGTGCTCGGTGCCGAAATGGCTGGCTCCCCCTCAGCGCTGCCCCTGGGGATGTTTTCTCCCCGTGGCTGGTTTTTAGGGGAAGCCAAAAATGGAGCAGCCCCTTGGTGGGCAGCACGGGATGGTGGTGATGGAGGCTGGTGGGAAGAAGCTCTGTGGGGACAAAGCCCTGGTCCCCGTCCTGCAGCCAGCGAGACGCGATGCTCGGGGGCACAGGGCAGTGGTGGGGGGGACACACCGGGGCAGCCGCTCCCCAGAGCCCTCTGCAAGAAGGAGATGGGGATGAGGGACACAGGAGAAATCCTGCCTCTGCCACCCATGTTTGGACATGCCACAGCAAGTTGTCACCCTGGGACACGGCTTCCCTGTTGTGGGCAGGGGGGAGAAAAGCACCGGGAGCCCCTCACAGCTGAAACACTGCCAGGGACCCCGCGCTGGACCCCCTTCTCCCCAAGGCTGGGTGCTGCCAGGGCTCTCCATCCAGGGTTGGGTGCGGGATGCCCAGGGGTACCAAAGCCTTTCCCATGGCCACGGGGAGCAGGGAGCCAGATTTTTGGCTCCCAGAGCACCAAAGAGCAGCAGGGCCGGGATGAAGGGACCCACAACCTGCCTCTTCCCAGCTCCTTCCCTCTGTGCAAAGGTGGGGAGCAGGGCAGGAGCAACGGCTTCCCACCCACGGGGTGGTTTGCCTTGTGCCGTAGCACGAGCTAAACCAAAATGCCATCAAGGTCAGCCCAAAACATGATGAGTGGTGGGATGAGGGGGCTGCCAAAGGGGGCAGAGCGAAGGGGATGTCACCCCAGAGGGAGGATGCAAGCTGGGGGGAGGGCTGGGGCACGGGATGAGTTTGCATCTCTAAGGCACAATCCACCTTGAGGCTGGGACGCGGGGATGGGTTGAAGCGCAAGACGGGGTGGTTTTCTCGACTGGCATCTGTTGTTTTGGGGAAAGCATCTGCCTCTGAAGCAGGACTCTCCAGGGAACGGGGAATTCATAAATCCCAGCCTGGCACGGAGACGGTGCTAGAAGAAGCGTAACTCAACAAGATGACTTTCACATTGATTTCCATGTTTGACATGATTTTTCAAGGGAGAAAATACCAAATCGCTTGGCAAAGTGGACAGCAGCAAGATGTGCACCTTTTTTTTAATAATTATTATTTATTCAAAAGAACCTAAAACCACTTAAAAGCATTTTTTTTAAAAAAATAAATAAGTAGTGCGCACACAAAATCTCCCTGCCCCGGGGAGAAGCACCGGGAGCCCCTCACAGCTGAAACACTGCTGGGGACCCCGCACTGGACCCCCTTCTCCCCGAGGCTGGGTGCTGCCAGGGCTCTCCATCCAGGGTTGGGTGCGGGATGCCCAGGGGTACCAAAGCCTTTCCCATGGCCACGGGGAGCAGGGAGCCAGATTTTTGGCTCCCAGAGCACCAAAGAGCAGCAGGGCCGGGATGAAGGGACCCACAACCTGCCTCTTCCCAGCTCCTTCCCTCTGTGCAAAGGTGGGGAGCAGGGCAGGAGCAACGGCTTCCCACCCACGGGGTGGTTTGCCTCGTGCCGTAGCACGAGCTAAACCAAAATGCCATCAAGGTCAGCCCAAAACATGATGAGTGGTGGGATGAGGGGGCTGCCAAAGGGGGCAGAGCGAAGGGGATGTCACCCCAGAGGGAGGATGCAAGCTGGGGGGAGGGCTGGGGCACGGGATGAGTTTGCATCTCTAAGGCACAATCCACCTTGAGGCTGGGACGCGGGGATGGGTTGAAGCGCAAGACGGGGTGGTTTTCTCGACTGGCATCTGTTGTTTTGGGGAAAGCATCTGCCTCTGAAGCAGGACTCTCCAGGGAACGGGGAATTCATAAATCCCAGCCTGGCACGGAGACGGTGCTAGAAGAAGCGTAACTCAACAAGATGACTTTCACATTGATTTCCATGTTTGACATGATTTTTCAAGGGAGAAAATACCAAATCGCTTGGCAAAGTGGAAAAAAAATACCGACATTTGAGAGCTTGCCACTCTCCTTTTTGTGCTTTTCGCTATTTAATCCTAGTTACAGTGAAACTTATGAATTCCCCGCCAGAGACGTTGGGGTAGACCCAACACTTCAGCAGCTGATGCCCCAGACCCAATTTCCACCTTGAAGATCAATATTTCCAGAAACTGGCTAATTACCCTGTTTACACTGCTTCTTTCTATCCCAGTCTGCTTTTTTCTTATTAGCTACTTTGCCAGTAATTATGCTGCTCGCTTTCCCTGCCACAGACCTTCAGCCACTTATGTCTGTTTTCTGCCTACAAAGCCATGCCAGTGGAAAAAAACCACCCCAAAATTGGATGCAGTCTTGACTTCTAGCTTTTGCAGCTGCCCAGCAAGTCACCTCCTCAAAGAACCCCGGTGGCTTATTCATTCCCTTGTTCATTTTTAAAAAATACTGAATCACTTCTTTCAGATTTAATATTATTATTATTATTGTTATTATTATTATTATTATTATTATTTTGGTAAACAGTCTCCCAAACGGTACGGTGAAAAAATTAAAAACCCTCTCACCTCCCTCCCCCCAACAATTTTCCCCAAATTAAAAAGAAGTACGTTAATGTTGCATGTTATTTCAAGTGTTGTTCTTGTGCAACTGAATCAGACCGCCTGCTGGAAGGAGCAATTTTTTTTTGTTGTTGCTGCTCAGTTAAAAAATAAAAGGAAAAAAAAAAAAGAAAAAAAGAGAGAGAGAAAGATTTGTTTCCTGATATTTCCTCTTTTTGGATCTCGCAGTGCTCGGCTCCAAGAAAACGCTGGCGTTTTCCCCGCAGGGAGAGCAAAGCCCCACGGGGCCGTACGGGGCGAGCTCCTGCCCGCGCCCCACAGACCCTCCTCTCTCCATCCATCCATCCGTCCGTCCGTCCGTCCGTCCCCCCAGAGCTGCCGGCCCCGCTGCGGGCGCCGGGCGCGGGCGACGCGCCGTGGCCTGCCGCCGTCCCCTCCTGCAGACCGCTCAGTGGTTATTGCGATGAAACTGAAAACTATGAACGATACTAATTTCTCAAGCATTCCTATGGCACTTGCATTGTTCTGCATAATTTGAGCGGGTTGTAGGGGAAGAGATTTAGAGGAGGAAAAAAAATACCCTCGGAAAAGTCAATGGAAGGACCAAGAGTCATATTTCGGACTCCCTCCTGTACGACCGCTGATCCAACGCTATTGTGGCTTGAAGCCTATCGAACTCGTGCCTGTTGTCCGGGCTCAGGTCCTCCAAACCCCGGCTGTCGTCATCTTCCTCTTCCTCATCGCGGCTCATGAAGGCCAGCTCGTTCTCGTAGCAGAAGGAGTTGGTGCTGGGCAGCAGGAATTTGTTCTCCACCAAGTCCTTGGCGCTGCAACGGGGGGTGGACGGGACCTCGTAGGTTTTGTGGAAGTGGGAATAGTCTACTTTGTACTGGTTTTTCTCCTCAAACAAGACAGGCTCGAAGCGGTGGCCCCAGAGGATCTCGCTGGCCAGGTAGGAGCTCCGAGCTTGCGTTGTCATAGCCGTGGCTTCTACCATGCCTTCCAGGATGACCACGATCTCAAAGTCATCTGTCTCCAAGTCCTGGCGGCTGATCCCGAACAAGGGGCTGTCTTCGTTGATCTCGTGGAGAATGGTGATGGGAGACACCAAGAAGATACGGTCCAAGCCTTTGTCAAACCCCACGTCAATGTCTATTTGGTCGAGCGGTATGTACTCCCCTTCTTCTGTGATCCTGGGCTTAATGAGCTGAGCTCGTACGTGGGCTTCTACTATGTGGCTTTTCCGGAGGTTCCCAACTCTCCACATCAGGCAGAGTTTTCCATCTCTCATTGCCACTACTGCGTTATGGCTGAAAAGTAATGTCTGGGCCCTTTTTTTGGGCCTGGCCATCTTTGCCATTATTGCACCAATCATGAAAGAGTCAATTATACACCCCACAATGGACTGAACCACCACCATGAAGACCGCGAGCGGACACTCCTCCGTCACGCAGCGGAAGCCGTAACCAATAGTCGTTTGGGTCTCAATGGAGAACAGAAAAGCAGCCACAAAGCCATTGACCTGCAGAACGCAAGGCTTGAAGGTATCATCTCCACCCGGGTTTTCTAGATCTCCATGAATGAGTGCAATTAGCCAGAAAATCAGCCCAAACAATAACCAGGACACCAGAAATGCCAGGGAAAAGAGCAAGAGCATATACCTCCAGCGAATGTCAACGCAAGTGGTGAACATGTCTGCAATGTACCTCTGTGGCTTGTCGTCCATGTTGGTGAACTCCACGTTGCACTGACCGTTCTTCTTTACAAATCTGTTCCTGCATTTCCTCCTGGTGTGGATTTTCCCATTGCCAAAGCCGTTGATACCTGGCATGGTGGTCAACCTCAGCCCGTCTTCCTCGGAGGACACGATGCTGTAAGGGTTGACTCTGCCTGCGGTCATCCCTGAGCCAAGCCCACAGTGAAGGTGAAGGGTCTTGCGACTCCCAGCGTCCCCCTGGCCCACCCCTGCCCACCCCCCAGATTCTCTTGCAGTGGAAGAGAAGTCCCAAGCTTCCACGTCTTGGCTGCCACGTCACCACGAGGATCCCGTGAGAGGCTCTGCAATGAGAAAACAAAGACACGGTTGTTACCTCTAGTGGCAAAGGGACCCAAGAAGGTGTTTAGCCATGGGTCTGATGTGGTGGGTGGCTGCATACTGAGCGAGGACCCCCCCAACTGTCCTTACTCTCCTTCCCATGGCTAGGCTGTTCCCAAAAACCACACATGAGGAAGGAAGGAGGTCTTAGACTTTGTTTTTTCATACTACAATGTGAGCGAGCAAACGTTGCTGGGGAGATACGGCATTTGTGGGAACCCTCAATGA